GTAGGGCATTAGGACTTGCATCGAGAAGTTCTGTCGACGGTCAGACCACCGGACAGTGGATAGCTGTGTGGTTTGTCTTCTCTCACATGGAGTGGACGGAGCTGTGTATGGCACTGATGGACAAGTCCTGCAGGTGTGTTTGTTAGTTAGTTTTCTATGTCAGTGTATATTAATGCCATTCCATGGTAAAGTTGCATCCAGTCATAGACATTTAATGTGTGTCACTGGGTTGTTTTCAGCTGGACTGGGTGTTTGAGGCCTTTGATAATGCGCACTGTCCTTTGCTGCAAAACAAACCAAAGATGTTTTTCATCCAGGCCTGCAGAGGAGGTAGGCAAGATGAGTAATGAATTGTAATACACTGTGTGTTTTTAGAAATTCCTGCGTTCACATTAGATTACACATGTCAAAGCTCTTGGATCTCTGTGATATCTTGAAACCACCTAAGTGTAAGAGAACAGACAGACGCCAGCCTGTATCTCCCCATGTCCATATGTTGTGTGCATCACCCTCCTGGCCACTGGGGCAGGTAACCTAGGTTGTAATTTCATAGCTGTCCATCAGCCACACAGTTCCAGATGCTGTGGATGGTATAATAATATGTCAAATTCCAATGATTTGCAGTATGAGTATAATAATAGTCCATGAACATGTAATTAATCTGTAGCTAATTAGTCTGTGATGGAGAGTATGACTTGACTACACAGCTGATGATGCTGCTGACAAACCCTCAGACTCCTCATGAGCAATTCTCATTACTGTCATGCATTTCCTCACAACAGTACAGTGCCCACTACAGGCGTACTGCTGAAAGCCCATTAAATGTGGTTGGCCACTGCAAATAGCTTCACTAAAGATAATTGTTTTGTTCAAGTGTTCAGGGTTTCACTTATTATGAAAATCCAGTAAAAGTTGTGTTCCTCAATTTTAAAGTTACATATGTAATCTGAGGAAATGGCAAAAAAAAAAAAAAAAGCAGGCTTTTTGAAGTTTTTGTTACGTACGTACAACGCCGCGGCCGCCGCACAGCCATTCCAGTGACACCTACAATCTTGTTAGCAAAGCTCAGTTTGGAAATTGTTCAGGTAGTAGCTTTTGCTGATTGTCGCTGTTTCTGGTTAAATTGACAACCAGTGGGGTCACACCAGCTGTCGCTAACTAACATTAAGTCTGTGACGAAAATTGAAGACAGGACAAAATGAAAGTGGCTGTTGTGGCGTCTGACCTCACTGCAGCTCGTGGACAAACAGATAACACTGTCTGCTGTTAGCTGAAGATTGTTTATGAGGTAAAGAGGCGTCACTCTGTAACACCACTGAATAATTAGAGTGAACTGAGCGCGTCTCTGTCCTTTCAACAAGTCCAACAGAGTGAGATGTCTTCACTGGTAAAACTGTCAGTCAATCTCACATCAGTGATGGAAATGCAGCACATTCTGGCAGTTGGTGTACGTGCAAATGGTTATGAAGATCTGTTGTCTGTTCATCTGTTACGTTAAATGTTTCTTAATAATTTTCATTAGCTTTTTGTTGTTTTTTAACCTAGTGTCCTCCCAGATGGGCAAAGGGGTACTTTTAGCTGCAGCACAATGTCAGCCCCAAAACTGCCATTTGAAACAGCCCTAATAATAATGATGTAGGGTGGGACAACCCCACCCCACCCCCATAGGTACTGCCACAAGTAGTAAAAACAATTCTGTGGGAAATACTGAACTGTAATAGGCAAGACTGACATACATCTACAGTTAAATAAGTATCTAAACCAGGTCTGAGCCCAATTACTGCAACTGTGGTTTTTGCACCATATATTTAGGAAAAGTGTTTAATTTAAAGGCTAAGTTAAAACTTTATTGCCCAGATGAGATGGACTGTGGAGTGGAGCAAATAGATGGACCAGTGAGGACCAGCTCACCGAGCTGTGAACAGTGGGATGCTGGGAGGGAAGAACAGGGGGATGCAGAGTCCAGACAGAACAGGGACATGGGGAGGCCCAGGATTAAACTGCCACAGCGCTCTGACATGATCTGCGGCTTTGCATCTCTCAAAGGTCAGAGAATTTGTAAGTTTTTCCCTTTTTGCTTTTCTGGATTGGTTATCTGTTTATGAAAACACAAAACAATAAGGGGTGGGAAAATTAACAAGGCAGTAGAGATGTACAGTAATCCATGCACTTATCCACACACTGGTTTTTACAGGTTATTTGTTGAAACAACATGGGTGGCTTAAAGTTCTTTGTTGTGAGCTGTGTCTTTTTATTTTTCCTGCTGCTGGCTTTGCCCTGTACCTGGACTCATTTGCAGGATAATGTGCACTTGTCTTCTGTCAGTAATACACTTAGCCTGCACAGGGGGGTAGTTACGACTAAATCAGTGTGGTATGATATTGTTGGCTTTAAAGGAAATCTTTACAGGCCCTGAGGTGTATTACTGCATATGTCAGAAAGGCTGTATGAGGCCTTTTGTGACTCCAGATGTGAGTTGCACAAAATCAAGTAATGTTACTTGAGTCAGTGTCAGCTGGGGCTAAAGACTACAAGTTTGAAGAAGAAAAAAGGTGTGAGCTAGAAAGAAGTGGGCTTAGCAGACGCCTGTAGCTCGCTCCTCGCCTCTGCTTGAGGGTAGTGGCTTGAGGCTAACATACCCAAATGCATGGAATAAAAAAGACCATCTCCAGTTAGCTGTATTGATTTTGATTGTTAGTTTTTTTTAACTGTCCCAACATAACTATGTTATAGGAGTACAGTGCCACTAAGAACGGAAGTGCTGGGAAAATTGTACTGTGGATGAGCTCTTCCTTCCCCCTTCTCTGTCTCACTGAGCTCAGATTGCTTTTACATGAGAACTGTCACATTGTTAACAGAAACCATAACTCATTAAACAATGTTTCCAGTTATGTAAATACCAGACACCACCTTTGCTGTTTCCCTGCGTCTCATCTCAATGTGTTAATCCTTCATTGTTTGGTCTCTTCCTTCTCAAGGCACAGCAGCCATGCGAAACACCAAGAGAGGATCCTGGTTTATCCAGGAGCTTAACACAGCACTCCGCCTCCATGCAAAAGACACACACCTTGCAGATATCCTGGTGCAGGTAAACAGAAGTGTTTTACACTTTCATATACTGCATACACAGTGTAAAATATGCCTCTTTATCTAGCTGACATGGTTTCCCCCCTCTGTCTTTAGGTCAACAGGAATATCAAGGAGCGAGAGGGTTACGCCCCTGGCACTGCCCACCATCGTTGCAAAGAGATGTCAGAGTTCACTAGCTCATTGTGCAAAGACCTTTACCTGTTCCCCAAGTACCCGTCCCAGTATTGATGTGCAAATATGCACATACATAGATTAACTCACACAGACATCCCTTGCATTGAAACCTCTCACACAACCGTTCATTCCAT